CACCTCCTCATGTAATCCTGCTTGGCCAGGGAGCCACTGAGGACCTGCTGCACAGAGGTGTTAAACCCTGGTGAGTAGTCTGAATACCTGTGACTTGCTCAGGGTCCCCGCAGGGACTGGTAGGATAAACTGTTTATATGTACACTCCCTGTAGAGAGAGGCCAGAGATTGACACAGATGTCCCACTTTTTTCCACCCTGCTGCATATTAACTTCCAGCCAGGTGAGTGAGTGAAATCATGCATCAAGCAATTTAATGATCATCTGCTTTGGGGTCCTTACACCGGAATGATAATTGGGAGTGTTGCACTGTCATAAGCAGGCAAGAAAGGTCAGAGCCCCATGTTGTGCAGGCAGAGAGCCCATCAGAAGGAAAGGGAATTGCCACCTGTCCTGGAAATGAGGCTCAGCATGATGGGGATGAAAGAATGCTGGGCTGAAAAGCGAGAAACCTGTGTTCTAACTTGGACTCTGCATATTAACTGGTTCTGTGGCCGTGCATAAGCCAGTTAACTCTTATGGGCCCAGGTCCTCCATCAACAGACTGACAATGCCCAGAAGTTTCTCTGGGCCTTAACATTCTCTGATTCCATGTAGACTTTTCTTGGGTCCTAATGAACATCCCACATGATCTAATAAAAAATGTGAGCTCTATGGAATCATAGATAACATCTGCTCAACAAATAATAATTGTATAGGACCTGATAGCTTTCATATCTTTTTCCCCACTACTCTTATCTAGAATTTCTTCTGATTTTTATTTCCCCTGAATCTAACTTTTATTTTTAAACAAATTTTCTTTATCTCTTTTTATTGTAAGGATTTCTCATAGACTTAAAAATACCTACGTTTAAGATAAACTTTAATACTTTAACTCACTTGCCTTCTGGCTGAATTATCTTGATCACTATGTCAGCTAGTACTTACGAGACACTTCTTATTTGTCTGGCACTGTACTGAGAGCTTTGTCTGATTTACTCTATTTAATCCTCACAACAATGATTATGTGAAGGGTACAGTTTATCACGTGCAATTGCCTCAGGCTGAAATTAAGGCCTAGAGTGATTGAGTAAATTTGCCCAAGGTGGAGGCGCTTATAAGAGAGAAGACAGAGAAATAATGCCTGTCAATGCCCCTCAGTGAGGAGGGAGGCTGGGGTTGGGAGAAGTGAGTTACCTGCCCAGATTTTCATATCAAGACAGAATAATTGATTCAAGACTGTATTTCAGGCTTCCAAGGTCCAGTTTTAGTAAGGCCTTACTTTTTTATCTTTTCCTATTTTTTTCCCCTGATATTGGGCCTCCCAGTTTAGAACATTTAAGATGAGAATTACAGGAATGTCACCTAAGAAGACACTGAAAACCTTGTCCCTTGAAAAATACTTGAGATATAAACTAATTTTAAAGTAAGTTCTCTTAAATCCTATGATTATGATTATAGATAACAAAGATAAAATGGCTTTATATTAAGTTATTATTTTACATTAGTGCTGTGTGCTATTTTTCCCTTTGTGGGAATTCAGATTTCAGAAATAGAACTTTTTTCCCTTTAATTCATTCTTTTACAATAATTCCAATGAATATTCATTTAGATGAATGATTTGTTTTCCAACTTTGAGGGTGGTGGTTCTAGCTTTATTTTAATCAGGGTGAGGCAAGCAAAGAAAAACCTGCTAGAAAATAAATGTATAGGCAACTCCATTGTTTGGTGTTGCAGTGTGAAACAATTCCACGTTGTCTTTGAAATTTCTGATTTAATCAGTGTATTTTATACAATAAAAAACCAAACCAAACCCGTTGCCATCGAGTCGATTCCAACTCACAGCAACCTGATAGGACAGAGTAGAACTGCCACATAAGGTTTGCAAGAAGCAGCTGGTGGATTCGAACTGCCATGCTTTTGGTTAGCAGCGGAGCTCTTAACCATTGAGCCACCAGGGCTCCATTTTATGCAATAGGTAGCCCCAATATACAGTTATTTTTAGAATAAATGAGACAATATTTATATCCAAATCACATTTTTTCTGGTTTGACAAGTTTTCACAATGTAGTGCTACAATGCCATTCCCAAAACTGATTTTAACAGGTTGTATTATTTTTGTAAGCTCTCTCATTATCCTTTGAGATCAAACATGAGGCTGACAGTTGTGTGTACAAGATTGACTCATGGCCTTTGTTCTTGGCACACTGCTTATGTGTACAGTTCAGCAGTAGGCTTATTACATAGCCCTTCTGTTCCAAACACTGGGCTTGGCACTAGGAGGAACAAGCCACGGTCTCTGCTTCCACAGGAGGTCCTGTTCTCGTGGAGACAACAGACATTCAGTGACTTGGGGTCACTCACCCACTTGACTTGCAGCTGTGCCTCATGGTGTTTCTGTAGCTGATATCTGAAAATAGCCACTCCACCTGTCTCTCATTGTTACATTTCAGTCTGGGGGTGCTTCGATTGCCAGAAAACCACAATCCTATCATGGCACGTGCAGTTGTGTTTTATTAATTCTAAAACTATCCATACCTTCTAACTCTCGAAAGGCTAAGAGTAAATAATTTAAAAATTGGGACATTGTGAAATTTCCGATCAGTTAAGAATTTTCTTTGATTGAAGATAATAAGCGAGAGGTGGGAATTTAAAATAAAGACCTTGATCATTAATAAAAGAAGAGGCCAGGTAGACATTGCTTTAGAATATAAAATGCTAAGGCAATACTCACTACAACAGTGAAAAATCTACCCACTATAACCATTGTCATAGGGCAACATTTGTAGTAACTGTTAACGAGAAACTATTTTGTTCTGTAAGCCTTCATCTTAAGTGAGA